GGCAGCCAGGATAAAAAACAGGGGCTGAGAGGGCAGAGCAACAAGCAGCATCCATCCCTGCTGCCACCCACCCACAGCAGCTAAGCAGCATCCTCCAGTCATTATTTGACAAAACCGGCTTTCTCAACCCAACAACCCCCTCCAAACCTACCCATACCCCCACCCTGCAAAAAAAATGTAATTCACAAAACGCTGTTGTAAGCAGGGGTACTGGGTTGGGAGCCCAGCGTTGTCCTGATGCCTTCCCAGGGACGTGGGGAGCCCACGGCTGGTTGCAGGGCGGGAGGACGGCAGGAGGAGGGCACCAACGCCGTGCGCTGCACGGCTCAGCATTCAGAGCTGGGCCAGGGCCAAATTTCAGAGCAGCAGCATTTAAGGAAGAACAGACATGGAAAAAAAAATAGTATTTTTATCTCAGGAAGCAATTCTAGGTGGTTTTAGTGTAGCATCCACCTGCAAGGACTGGCTGTTCCCACGCCCCGAGGTTTGCATCCGCCCCTGCTGCTTTTGCCAAGGATTTTGCTCCAGAGCAAAGACAGCAGCAGAAAGGGGGGTGAGGGGGAAATGAGACCAAATGATGCAATTAGGGTAAACCAACCTCCCACCGGAGAAGCAAACCCCTGGGTCCTGCTTCGAGTTGTTTCACCCCGAATCAGCTTAATCTTCCTAGGGGGTCCCAACCTCTGCCCCACGTGCCAGGAGCTGCGTGGAGGGATACAGCAGCCTTTGCTTTCAGTGTCTGCAGCCTGACAGAGGTGGAGGCAGAAAAGCCAATCCCCTCAGGTTTGTTTTTACAAGGCTTGACCTTTCAGGAGGGAATGGGGGAAGATGCAAGACCCTCAACAGATGTGGTCCCCTTGGAGCTCACAGGGTATCGCAGCCAAGCCATCCCTTAGCTGGAATCTTCCCGGTCACAGTGGAAAACATCCCAGCACGGACAGCGAGCAGCATAAAACTCTTGTCCCATACTGATCAGGAAAAAAAAAAAAGGCAGAAATAGGGTATTTTTAGTGATAGGGATGCGTGTCCCTCAAGTGACATGGTGCAGAGGAACAGACACCAGCCCTGGCTGGATGCTCTGCAGGTAAATACCCACCAGACACAGGGTAAGGTAGCAAAACCGAAGTGAGGGATGCCAGCTCCTCGGTACGGCTCTTCTCAGAGCACAGGAAAAGAGCCTTTTCCAAGGAGTTGCGATAGGTTTCTAGGAAAAAAGAAAAAAAAAAGAAAAAATCAAACACACTTGTCCTTTCTGGATTTGTTTTTGGGTGTTGTGTTTTGTTTTCCTCCTGCTTCTTTTCAAAAAATGACTTGAAAGTTTGTTTATTTTTCTCCAACCCTCCCCTTCCCCCCC